AGGTGCTGTATACCAAGTTCTATCCTCAGCCGTTCGTTTGTTTGTTTGTTTGTTTTTGAGGCAGGGTCTCTCCATGTACTTCCAGATGGCCTAGTGCTCACTATGTAGACCAGATTACCCTTGAGCTCATAAAGGTCCTTCTGCCTCTGCCTCTTGAGTGCTCTTGGAATTAAAGACATGCACCACCATACCCAGCTTTAGTTTAGTTTAGTTTTGTAAATATTTTATTGGGGGTAGGGCAGGAGAAATGGCTCCACAGTTAAGGACACTTGTTGCTCTTACAAAGGATCCAGCTTTAGTTCACGTCACCCACGAGGTGGTTTATAACCATCTATAACTCCAGTTTCAGGGGGTCTGATCCTCTCGCCTGAGTTTTGAAGGCACTCAAGCATGTACATGTTGCACATATATACATGCAAAAAAACCAATACATGTAAAATAAGACCAGTTTTTTATTACACGTATATGTGTATCTGTATGTGCGTAGGTGCACATGAGTGCAGGTGCCCTTGGAGACCAGAATAGTATGTCATATCCCCTGGAACAATTGTGGTTTCTGGGAGCCAAATTTGGATCTTCTGCAAGAGAATTAAGTTCTCTTAACCATTGAACCAAGTCAGAGTCTCAGTCAGTCTCAGACTCTCTCTCTCTCTCTCTCTCTCTCTCTCTGTCTCACACACACACACACACACACACACACACACACATACACACACCCTTTATTCTTTATTTTGAGGTGTGAGCTCATTCCAGGTCTCTTGGCCTTGAATTCACTTTTAACTGGGATGTGCCTTGAACTGGTCATCTTCTTCCCTGCTCCTGAATAGCAGGATTCAGGGCCCACAAGTACCACAGCCAGTGTGCTCGTGCCCTTGTCTGCCTGGATACATGCTCTCCTGCTTACCTGTGCTGCCCCTTCCTTCTTGTCGCTCTGCTCTCTGAGTGCGTCACTGAGTCTCCTGCATGTCCTCCTCCTCCTTCTCTGTTACTTTTCATTGTCCTTTCAACTCCCCAGATTACATCGTGGGTTTTGCTCTCGTTTATGGTGGTACCCGCACCCCCCTGCCCCCGCCACACACACATTTTTCGTCTGTTGTGGATGGTTCACATCTGCTGCAGTCTGAGTGCAGAGATGAGAGGACAGCGTGGTGAGGTTGGCTCTTTCCACCACATGGGTCCTAGGGACCAAACTCAGGTTGTCAGGTTTGACAGTAAGCGTCTTTACTGACTGAGCCGTCTTTCTGCGTGAGTGACCAAACCCAGGGCACATGCTTACTAGACAACACTCTGCACCCTGAGTCCCAGCCCCTGTCATTTAAACCAGAAAATAACTTCTCCCAAAACATCTACCAACGCCTGAGGTCTCCGGATGCTAGGTGGTGCTCCGCTTCATCAACCCTGTCAGGGGAAAGCATCTGTCCTGCAGGTCAGTGCTGACACTGTCTCACGTGAGCTGCCATCTGAACCCCCACGTCAGAGAGCCTGCTTCAGACAGCCCTCACAAGCCCCAGGCTGCCCCCAGCACCTCTGGGAGGCTGGTTTCACATTGATAGCGTCTGAGTGGATAAAGACCTGTAACAGCTGGGCACTCCAGGAAGCACTTGGCACCTCTGATTTCTTAGGAAAAGGTGTAACTCAGCGTTGGCCAATTGGACAAGGTGCATGGGCTGTGTATGGGGACAGAGAGTAATTCATGCGCGGTTTTCATGATGCGTCCACGTGATTGCCAGCACAGGAGCTCTGACTCCTGCAGTTGAGAGCCTTTTATGGGAGGCTTCACTTGATTAATTATTGACTCAGTCTCCAGCCCTCTCCCTTCCCTAATGAATGAAGGGTGGGTAAGACACAAAGTTCCAAGCTTTTCGTCCGGATTGGGTTCTGTGACCAGCTTCCATCCTGAAGGCTACTCAGGACCTCCCAGGTCCCATTTGATGAGATTAAATCGTTCTCCTTCCTCAGGAAGATGGAAGGGATTCAGGACTACAGTGCTCCTCTGATCCCCGTTAGGGATCCTAGCTGGGTGTGGTAGCTCACACCTTTAATCCTAGCACTTGGAGGCAGAGGAGGGTGATTTATGTGAGTTTAAGGTTATTCTGGGCCATGTAGGCCATTCCAGGTGAGCCAGGGCTACATAGCTAGAGTGAAAGCCTTGTCTTAGAAAACCCAAACCAGGAATCTGGGGCAGAAACCAGATTTTATTTATCTATCACTTTGCCACAGTGTTTGGGGTCTTGTCTGCTTTTCATTTTTAAAAAGATTTACTTTTTCTTTTTTTTTTTTGGTTTTTCAAGACAGGGTTTTTTCTGTGTAGCCCTGGCTGTCCTGGGATTAAAGGCATGCACCACCACTTATTATAGTGTTTTAAGACGGAGTCTGTCTGCATAGCACTGGCTATCCTGAAACTCACTCTGTAGACCAGGCTGGTCTCAAATTCACAGAGATCCTCTGCCTCGGGCATGCGTCAGATAAAGGTCCTGAGTGGTGAGATGTTAAGGGCCAGAGTGGGGAAGAAAAGCAAAGCAGATGGCTGGGACCAGGAGGTCTTGCTGGAATGGGTGTTTTATGCAGCAAGTCTATTAAGAAACACAGTGTCTTATGTGCTGTTTGTTTGTAAGGGGAGAATGACCCAAAGTAGCTAAATCAGACAGTGTTGGTAAAGAGAACACAGGATACCTCAGACATATACATCTATCTAAGGACTGAATCATAACCCAGGAAAGAGAGTAGGACCCCAATAAACTGCAACCCTCATTCCTTTGAGACCTAGGCCCCCAGCCTCAGACTTTGCCAACTCTGCTATTGGGCAATGACACAGAACTGACATTCCTTTTGCCTTTCCACCCAGGCCTCTGAGAAAGCCTTGAATTGTCTGGCTCCCAAGAGGAGCTCACGTACCCCAGGCTGGACTTGAACTTGCTACATAGCCAAGGATGATCTTAAACTTCTCATCCTCCTGCCTCCACCTCAAAGTGCTAGGATTATAAGCATGCAACTACCATTCCCAACTCTTTTTGTTAATTTATGCCCCCACCCTATATTAGACTCATAAGGACAGGAGTTTTATTTTTATCAGTGCTGATCCCTGTACTTCAATAGTGGCCAACACTTAGGAAATACTCAGTCAAGAATGAATGAATCAACCAATAAGCAAGAGCAGGGGTAGAAGATAGATTCTGAATAGCAAGGACGGTACATGCAGAGGGCCTGTGATTGCTGGAAGTTTCAGAATCATAGGGCAGGGGACAGTACGTGTGCTGGCTAGTCTTATGTCAACTTGACACACAAACTAGAGTTCTCTCAAAGGAAGGAGCCTAAACTGAGAAAAAATGCCTGATGAGATCTGGCTCTAAGGCATTTACATAGTTACTGACTAATGGGAGAGGACCCAGTCCATCGTGGACGGTACCGTCTCTATGCTGATGGCCCTGGGTTCTCTAAGAGAGTGAGCTGAGCTGGGTGGTGGTGCACGCCTTTAATCCCAGCAGTCAGGAGGTAGAGGCAGGCAGATCTGAGTTCAAGGCCAGCCAGGCTGGTCTACAGACGGAATTCTAGTGTAGCCAAGGCTACACACACACATACACACACACACACACACACACACACACGCACAT